TTTGGGATCAAATACTTTACCCCTTGCTAAGAAAGTGTGTGTGAACACATAGCATGGTCTAAGAATAGTACAGATTAAATCAGATCCTTAGCACGGCTAACAAAGTGTACGTGAATGTTACAGTAGTCTGGGCTAAGCACACAAAACGCCATTGTATTCAATGTTCATTTGGAAGATTTACTATTGCAGTGTATAATCATAACTATTCATTGCGGCATGCCATGTCCAACATGACAATCAATGCGAGTACATCTAGAGATTTGTTCTTGAGAAAAAATGAACTGACCATGAGACTGTGTAATCTGCACTTTCTGAATTTACTTTGGTATTGTTTTATAACTTTAGAAGTAACATGTATACCTTCCTAGTTACTGTACTCAGCAATCACAGTTAAAGGACTGAACATATATGTATATTTTTGGGCGTTCCTTAGCCCTTGCTAACCACTGTTTCCTTTTGTGCATGAATTCAATTGGGTCTATTTGATGTGGAAACATATGAGATTAGCTTAAATCTTAGTCTTCACTTGGTGTAGTGTGAACACAACTATGTGCTTGCTGGTTTCACACCACAATTAGAATTTATATCAAGACACAAGATTACATACTATATATATGAGTAGTGTTACAGTTTTATTTAATACAAGCAAGTGAATGGAATTTCAAATCAAAATCAAACTAGTTTTGAAATGGTATACTGATACACTTAGAGTGAGTAATCAGCTGGTCATCGTTTCTAATACTGCCAAACCCAGTGTAATCAGCGATAGTTTCATTATGGGGCAGTTTCAACATCTGTAATAATGCTGTTTACTGTTTGATTTCAAAAACTAGACAAATCACTTTTTAATTTTTAAAAACTTTTGGGTGTTTGATTCATTTATGTGTAAAATATACTTTTCAAGTTTTTGCATTGTTGCTATGGAGACCTGCAGACTAGCAGCATTATGCTGGAACATATAGCAAGTCAATTATTGCATTTCATTTATCTTTCATTTGATTACTTTATTTGTACAGTTGTGCATAATATGAAGCAGTTTGTCATGTGACAGTTTGCGACAGTTTGTCATGAGACAGTTTGTCGTGTGACAGTTTGTCGTGTGACAGTTTGTCGTGTGACAGTTTGTCATGAGACAGTTTGTCATGAGACAGTTTGTCGTGTGATAGTTTGTCGTGTGACAGTTTGTCGTGTGACAGTTTGTCATGTGACAGTTTGTAACAGTTTGTCATGTGACAGTTTGCGACAGTTTGTCATGTGACAGTTTGCGACAGTTTGTCATGTGACAGTTTGTCATGTGACAATTTGTCATGAGACAGTTTGTCATGTGACAATTTGTGACAGTTTGTAACAGTTTGTAACAGTTT